GAGAAGAAAATGGTTGTGGGGAGCGACAACAAATATGCCTCAGAATTGGTTGAGGAAGAACTGAGCGTGAAACTCAAACTAGGGAGGAGAAGAAAATGGTTGTGGGGAGCGACAACAAATATGCCTCACAATTGGTTGAGGAAGAACTGAGCGTGAAACTCAAACTAGGGAGGAGAAGAAAATGGTTGTGGGGAGCGACAACAAATATGCCTCACAATTGGTTGAGGAAGAACTGAACGTGAAACTCAAACTAGGGAGGAGAAGAAAATGATTGTGGAGAGCGACAACAAATATGCCTCAGAATTGGTTGAGGAGGAACTGAACGTGAAACTCAAACTAGGGAAGAGAAGAAAAGGGTTGTGGGGAGCGACAACAAATATGACTCACAATTGGTTGAGGAGGAAAACAAGAGTGCCCAGAGAAAATCCACTTTTACAGGACAAGCACCAAAGAAGATTGACCGACATGATCGGTCGTCTATTTAATAGGCTAGAGTCTCGTTCGATATCAGAATTAGCCAGTTAAATAAAGAAAGATGCTAAAACATATACAAGACAGAATCTTATATAAACCTACACGTACCTTAAAACTTATATACGCCAAAAGGGTTAACAAAGTTGTTCTCTTTAAGGAAGGTATATAGAAGTTGAAGGATCAGACAATAGATTAATTCAGGTGTTTATTTGAAATATTAAATGTGAGAAACATTTTCATAAATTTCTCGTTCTCAGAACATGATGACCTGAAATTTCAATCATTTAAAGAGATTCCCTTTCTTCATTATATTCAGGACGAATCCTCATTTGAAATACATTATGTATATTCTGTATAACTCCAAAGGCTTAGTGAAGTAATAATCGGGAAATGTATAAATGTTGATCAAGTAAATGCATAAAAAACATCTCCATAAACAAACCGAATAGGGCACTCGTGCGGAGATGATCATCACATGATTATATATTTTTAAAACATTCACCAAAACGTATACACTCATAACCCATGACTAAGTATGTCTGTACATTAATTTTACACAAATATATAATCTAAAAAAAGGAACCCCTATAAATGGCTCCAAAGGGTACAACTCTGAGAGCAATGATTTTACCTTTGTTCATTAGTCACACGCATGACCACTACTTGAGAAACAATAAGTTCTCTATTATTACTTCTAAAGATTATAAAAAACCAACAAAATCCACCTATATACGTCTAGTAAGACCATCCGCTTATAGAACCTTAGAAGATCTTCCCTCTAGTAACACCATCCGCCATTGGAAAACATAAGTTTGTGAAAACTATAAAGTAACATGTGTAAAATTAAATATTTTGTGAAGAACAACCAAAATCATGGTTATATGGGTAAATGAACAGTATGTTTAAGCCGTAAAGCCCAGCTAGTTAAACTGTAAGATTGTACGTAAAACCATGGTTATATGGGTAAATGAACAGTATGTTTAAGCCGTAAAGCCCAGCTAGTTAAACTGTAAGATTGTACGTAAAACCATGGTTATATGGGTAAATGAACAGTATGTTTAAGCCGTAAAGCCCAGCTAGTTAAACTGTAAGATTGTACGTAAAACCATGGTTATATGGGTAAATGAACAGTATGTTTAAGCCGTAAAGCCCAGCTAGTTAAACTGTAAGATTGTACGAAAAACCATGGTTATATGGGTAAGT